ATTTTGTTCCCTTATCCAGATCATTAATATATATTGTGAATAGCTGGAGTCCCAGCACTGATCCCTGTGGCACCCCAGTTTGTCTGTAGCTTGTTTTAGAACATAGAACATAGAACATTACAGCGCAGTACAGGCCCTTCGGCCCTCGATGTTGCGCCGACCTGTGAAACCAATCTCCTATAGCTGTGTAAACAGCAAACACACTGAGTGTCTGTAATCTGCTTTCCCTTTTCAGTCCTCACTCAAAAACACAGAACAATATAAAGATATGGCTTTTGCATGTCCAATGGGATTTTAGGCTCAAAGGGCTGAATGGCCTGCTCCAGTTCCTAATTCTGAATCTCTTAAACCTGCCTGTTTCCTGTCTAGGAATGTCCCTGTGTAATAAAGGAGGATATTCTACAGTTATTTCAGAATCACTCCATAAACCCATCAGTCCCTCCAATTATCCTGGCGGACGATGGTGCAGAGATTCAGGAGGAGATCCCATCAGGGGCCATATTCCAACACGAATGCAGCAACTGGTAAGGAACATTCCAGAACCTTCTCACTGAGCGGAATCAGTCAGCACTGATCTGTACATTAATTCAAAAGTGAAAGAGCCAGTAAAGAGACTGCAGAAGTTGCAAGGTTCAGGAAAATGAGCAGTGGGTAATTGGATGTGATTGTGCTGGAGGGGGTGCAGAGGAGATTCACCAGGATGCTGCCTCGGGTGGAACGATCCAGCGATGAATGGAGGCTGGGTAAGCTCAGGTTGTTTTCTTTAGAGCAGAGAGGGTTGAGTGGGAGGGGGGGGAACCTGATAGTGGTGTGTAAGATAATGAGGGGCACACATAGTATGAGTAGCAAGTAGTTATTCCCATTAGTTGAGGCATCAATAACAAGTGGGCATCATTTTAAAGTGAAAGGCGGAGGATTTAGAGGGGGTTTCAGGAAAAGCATTTTCACCCAGAGGATGGTGGGGCTGTGGAATGCTCTGTCTGGGAGGGTCGGAGTTGGGAAATCTCACAACCTTTAGAAAGTACTTGGATGAGCATTTGAAAAGTCATAGCATTCCAGGCTGTGGGCGTGGTGTGGCAATGTGGGATTAGAGTGAGATCTGTACTGACCATTCTGTGTTCCCACTCAGTACATGTAGGAATGGACGACTGAACTGCTCATTCACTGTGTGTGTAACTGATGGAGTTTTTTCCACATGGAGCCCCTGGACTTCCTGTTCCCGCAGCTGTGGTGGAATCGGTCACATGACCAGATCACGTGACTGCTCAAGCCCAGCACCAACCAATGGCGGCAGAGACTGTGTTGGACCAAGAGTCGACTTTAAGTTTTGTCAGAGTCTGGACTGTGAAGGTGGGCGAGGGTGAGGGCGAGGGGGCGGGCGAGGGCGAGGGCGAGGGGGCGGGCGAGGGCGAGGGGGTGGGCGAGGGAGAGGGGCCGGGCGAGGGCGAGGGTGAGGGCGATGGCGAGGGCGAGGGGG